ATCGCCGTCTCTCCACTCTCCACGTGCCCCGGAGGGGAGGAAGCCCCGAAGGCGCCGGATGGAGGTGACATTCCATGGGGATCTCCGAGCCTGCCAGCGGGGCCCTGCAGCCCTCCGTCGTGGCGTCATGAGTGTGAGATGTGGCTCGTCCTTCCCGACCCGCCTGTACTTTTCGTCCTCTTGCGTTGTTACTATGATTTTTTTTTAAATCTCCCGTTCTCCCTCTGCCGAGGAGGTCGATCCCTGTCCCCTGTGCACACAGGAGCGATTGTAGCTGCCGGGGCTCCCGCGGGACGCCGGGAGCGCAGGCACAGACCTTTGTTTTCTACGAACAGGGACCATATTTCCGTGGAAGGAGGATTGCGACAGGCACAGCACTCAACGAGGAATCTGGAGTTTAATCCCAGCTTTGCCTTGGACTCTCTGTCCGTAAGACAGTGACCTACCTCACAGGGCTGTTGTGAGGCTTCGCTGGCGTTTGTACCAGGAGGGACTCGGGGCGCGAGGGCTGTGCCCCCGGCGCTGGAGGGGCCCGCGGGGCCTGGGGTCATTCCTTTTTATTCCCATTTCTTATGCTCTTTGTACCTGCAGCAGAGGTGGTGGGCTCTGAGGGCCCCAGCCGGGCACTGCTCCGGGCAGTGGGAGCGAGGCCGTTCCTGCCCCTGGAACAAGGGCAGAGCAGCCCCGGGGCCCCCCTTTGGTTCTCCCAGTTCTCTGATTTAATTTACTGCTCATGGGCTTTAAGGCACTGTGCCCTGTGCCAGCACAAGGGGCCCTCGGAGTCCTGCAGCCTGGGGTCACTCAAAACTTCTCATCTTCATTTCACTTGCTTGAGGTTGTCACTATTATTTGACCAGTGTTTGTTTCTTTTGGCCTGTATAATGGGCAGTATGGTTTTCCCTTCCAGCAGGTTTAAAAAAAAGAAAAAAAGACAAAAAAAAAAAAAAGACTAAGCTATTGTCTAAATGGTTCCGAACTAGTGTGATATTGGGATACTTCCGTGGCTGTTATGTGATACTGGATCTTTTTACAACATAGATTAAAGACAATAAAAAGGGATAGAGTAGGAACTGCCTCTGTCCTCTTCATTCTTTTTTGCTATTTATTTATTTACTGTACCATCTGGAATTTTGTGCCTTTTCTTTGGCCACTTCTCTGGTGGGAGAGGTGCAGAGCTGAGGGGTGAGGTGGGTGGGGAGGGCACAGGGGGCTAAAGGGACCTGGCACTGTGGGACCCCCTGTCAGTGACAGCCTGGGGGGCTGAGGGATCACTGTGGGGTCAGCTGGCAGGACACAGTCCCCCCGCAGTGCCAGAGCCTGTCTGGGGCTGGTGGTGCCCGGGGGAACCAGCCCAGCGGGTCCCAGTGCTCGGAACCGTCCGTGTCCAGAGCTGGGGGTTCATTCCCAGGGCAGGGCTTGAGGAGGGGCAGAGGAGCTGCTGCTGCTCAGGGACATGGACCTTGGGTCCAGATGCTTTGTGGGGTCCCAGGTTGTGTCTGAGCCAGGGTGGAAAACCTTCCCTTTGTACGAGTGAGGGGGTGGTGGCCCCTGGGGGTTCCCCGTTGGTCACCTGTGTGTGCAGGGCCTGGCATGGGCCACTCCAAGAGAAGCAAGGTGGGATGGGCAGGAGGGGAAGGTCGGCTCCTGTGGCTCTGCCCCTGGCTGTGCCAGCTGTGACACACTGCCACGGGCACCAGGGGCTCTCACTGGCCCCGGGGGGTGCCCACAGGACGCCTCTCCCCTCTGATCCCAGGCTTGAGAGTCAAAGCCATGATGGGGATTTTCTGTGGCTGAAGGAATCGGATCCAACCGAATTCCTTCCCCCCCCTTCCTTATGGCTTCCTGTGCCAGCGCCATCTCAGGTGCCCCTGACTGTGCCACCACGCCCTGCCCGGCCTTCCCACCCCACAGACTCAGGCCCAAGCTGAGGAGGAACATCTAGAAGCTTTATTTCAACCCTTTACAATAGTAAGAATCACAACATCAAGTCAGGAAATGTTGCTAAGGAGACGACGGTCTTACAGCCCCTCGGGGAGGGTGAGACACAAAGGCAGAACCAAACGGGTGGGTCCCCCCAGGCAGGGGGGCTCTGCCCCAGCCCACCCCCCGAGCTGTGGTCTCACACCGAGCACTGACCTCCCCCTGCCCGGGGACAGCCGCGTCTGCCCCGCGGGCACCCCCGCAAACAACCCTGTGACACAAACGACAGGAACACACTGAGAACACGTCACACGCTGCTCACGCCTCACGACAGCCCGGGGAGGTAAAGAGTGTCACCCCGCGCGGGGAGCTGAGGCAGAGAGGTTCAGTGGCTTCCCG